AACTACATGATATTAAATTAGATTGATTTCAACTTTGTCATTGCAAGCACTAAGATATCTGACTCTGTTTGAGCTTTGATGACGTAAATGATGTAGGGATGCATATTTCACACACCTTAGGTATAAAGCACAATGTTTCGCTCAACTACAGCTACATTCGTTTGAGTTTCAGCATAACCAACATAGGAGCAATATGAGGAGAACCACAGCAAAAAGCACAAGATAGAAGCAAACATATGAGAAAATAAAACATTTAATTAAATATCATTTCATGTATAGTTGTGAAATTTTCTCACAATAAAGTCCAGCATATTTATTTTTGTACAAAACTTGCCATATTTTGACTGTAACGATACCTATTGGTACATCTAAGTTTTAAATGTATTTTATTTGATTGAAATTGCAGCTTTTTGCTCATTTGGAAGCCTTATTCATCACCTTTGGTAACGAACAGTTTCATGTTTATTTAGACTCGAATTTAGTTTTTATGTCTGCTCTGTTTTTGGTCTGTATCAACTTCTGAGGAAACTATCTGGTTCTTTAGATGCTCCATTATGTTTACCTTTTTGTCGCTAACTGTGTCTGTCTGCTGTTTGGTGCTGAGCAGGCTGTGTACGGGGCATTTTTAGAGCTTTAGATCCTGCTGTTTCTGATAAGGACACTATGAGAATGGGGAAAGTGAACCAAGGTTGTAAAGTTGATTAATGACTCCTAAACAATGAGCTGAAACTCACTAAAAAGCTCCATAAAGCCAAGACGGTGTAGGTTTATTGTTACCACAGACGCCTTTCTCGTTGTTTCTTTCACTTTTCTTGTTTTTTTTTCTTTATTTGTTTTTGTCTTGTTTTTATCACTTAAAGACCAAAATCTATCAATCAAACAATGCCCCATTATTCTCTTCTGATTTTAGTAGCTTCAAACAGTGCAATGTGTTACCGTCCAAATGTTTTGTGATTGCAAAAACAGGAACTGCTCAACAGTTCAATGTGCACGTTTTTTAAATGTGTAGATGTTCTCACATTTTGTATCTAGTTTCATATTTTTGACACACCTTCAAAGGGCTGTTTGAGGGTTAAGACTTGGTTTTATGGCTCAGATTAGAATCAGATTAAGGATATGGTAAGGGGCAAGGCAAGGGAAGTCAGTGAATGTCATCTCAAAGGCAGCAGAGTGTGTGAAACCAACAGCTGTTCGGCATCAGAGGGAAAACATTTGGATTTTGTGTTCTTGATGGTTTGTTCACCGTCTCTCAACATCCCTGTCTGTCTCTTTCAGACCACCAGAGGAAGTTCGGAGAGGATTATGGATCATGTCAGGCAGGAATTTCCAACTTCCTGACTGAGGTCAGTAACACACAGACAACAAGCTTTGTTAAAATCTTGTTCGTCTTCCACCGGCGGACTGATTGTGATTCATTCAGAGGCACACGTTAATGGAAGCCATCTGCTTTTTTCTGGTTCCTGCTCATATCTGTCAGCCTATCGACTTACGTATATCATAAATTCAACAGAGCTGTAGTAGAGATCACATTATATTGTTCCCCTTTTTAAGGATCTGATCATCATGGGGGCACCGGGGACATCTTACTGGACAGGTTCGGTTCTGGTCTACAACACATCCAGCCGAGGGATGTCTGTGTACCTGGATGACGAGAATGGAGCTGTCAGCTTTGGAAGCTACCTGGGTAACTAAAACACTGCTGCTGTACCAGTTCTACTAATAATACTGCTACCAATGTACTGCTGTTAGGGTGTTTGCAAGGGACTCGGGGCTTCAGCTGTGCCCATACTTTCACAAATGATTATTCTGCTGTTTACTGGTTTCTTTCTGTATCAGAGGTGCCTTTGGTTTCTGGTGAAGCAAACTTGATTGTACAATATAGAATAGAATAGAATAGAATAGAATAGAATAGAATAGAGCTTTATTGATCCCTTTGGTGGAAACCTCAGGGGAATTGCTGATATTTGGCACCTGATTTGCAAATAGAACAAATATTACTATTGCAAGGCAGGAATAAATATAAAAAAGTTAATGCTATTGAAGGAAAAAGGAGTTTTCTCTGTCCTATCACATGATGCATTGACAGTCTGCAGTAAATCTCTGAATAATTTTAATAAGAATTCTGCTCTGACTATAAGTTGAGACTCTTGTTTTTTTTGTCGTTTGCTCACATGCTGTCATTATCACGTTTACATTAAAAGGCACATATCACGGGAATCTTTTATTACCAGTCGCTTTTAAAAAGGAAAGCCGTGCAACTTCCTGTAAAATCTGCTCTTCTCAGTAAGATGTGGATATATTAACAAACATTAAGTCGCAAGATCAGTTTTAAATGTTGCATTGCAGAGCGATACAAGAAGATACGGCCACAGTAATATGTCCTTCTGAAATGAAGATGTTATCATGATAAACGTCTGTCAACCAGCCATGTTGTCGTGTAAAAAACTAGTTAGGCTGTGCTTGCATGACTTCAATGGCTACAGTTGCTTATGGCTTATTGAGGACTCTATCTCAGTGTCAGTGGAATTTCTGATTTTGCATGCAATAATTTTAGATACGGCTGTGGTGGTGCAGTTTCCTTTCATCCAACCACACAGAGGCACTTTGTCCTTCTTTGCTCTTTGTCTTGCACTTTCTCACGTGTTCAGGCTCTGTTAGAAGGTAATAAAAAGTCCTGAATTTAGTCTTTAACATTTTTTTTGTGTGATGATAGTTAAAATGTTTGTGTCTGATTATGTGCTGTTAGGAGACATTCTACATGCATACAGTATGTACTCTTCCTTACAGTCTACTATGTTGTGTTAGTGGGTTGTATTGCAGGAAGTTGTTCAGTGTTTTTGTGAGTTTCAGTTACATTTACATCTGAGAGCTACAGTATTTGCAAAGCTCATCGTCTCATGAAGAACGGTTGTAGGGTTGTTGGAAAAACTTGACGGTTCCTTGAATTTTCTTCTAAACAAACATTTGTTGTTTGTCTTCAGTGTTTCTCAACCGAACACACTGTTTTGAACTCATGGGAGCATGTTTCATATGAATACTTGGGAGGATAAATATTTAAAAAAGTCTTTTTTTTTTTTTTGAGAGTCAGACTTATCATTTCCTGCATTCTGATGAATCCTATGAACCAATTTGAGACTTGTCTGCATCAATTTATGATGAAAAAGTCTTCATAAATTGACCTTTCATCCTTCTTCAAGTATGGCCATTCAGATTGAAGCAATTTAATATGTAATTTATATAAAGAAAAACACAAAGTTCAGGCACCAAGTGACAGTTTAAAATATAGTGGAATGTTATTGTGTCTGATTACATTTTGACAACAGATTCAGTGGTTGTAGGTGTGTGTAATTCATTTGTTTTCAGGGAAAAAAAGACTCATGAATGCCATCTATTAGTGAACTTGTCCCTTAGAAATTAATAGTTTTAAAATAAGAGTTGTCTGCTTCTTTCATGTTTTTGCGAATGTTCTAAATATTGAAGGGGCTATATCACCTGCATCCTTCTAGAAAACTACACTGTGTGAGCTGTTCAGATATGTTGAATGTTGTTCTTCATGGAGAATTTGCAAATCTGATATGAAGTATTTTTAATTCAGCAGTTTATAGAACCATGTTGACTTATTAGCAGTCTTTTACGTCCCTGCCTTTGCTGGTACATTTCTCCATTACTCTGGGTGTTGCTGTCACCTCTGGATCAGTGAAATAGTGTGAAACCACTGACAAGAAAGTTTTTCAGAAAACGTGCTTGTGTACATTTGTTTCCTCATACATGAGTTCATTTTTTAGAGATTCTTATTTCATTATGTATTACATGTACTGGTCAAGTTGCTTTATTGGTGTTATTAGCTTGACAGTTAAGTAATCTTGACTTTACTTACTTAATGAAAGATTCTAGACAAGCACAGTTTAAAATGATATGAAAAACAGACGTAAAATTATTCAATTTAACCTACAGGACTTCTTGTAAAACAGCAACAATCAGGTTTATTTCCTTCTTGATTAAAAAAGTAACAACTAAAACACAGAATTAAATAACACTGAAGAGGCGTTTTTGTGCAGAAGATCAAAAGCACAACAGCAGGGTTGTATCAGTGCACTTCGACACAGTGTGTCACCTCTCCATGCTGAAAAGGAAGTCAGGCAGAAAAGGTGTGATGTTCTTTAGCTGAAGGTGGTGTTTACTTTCACCCTGTTTGGATGAAAACATCCACACTGTCCTCATGGTGACAAAAAGTAGTGCACAAACACTGGTGATAATAACAAGACTGGCAAGCTAAGGATCAGACAGTAGCACCAGATCAGATTGTAAAATGTCTCTTCAGTTATTATGAAAACGCAAGCTCCCACGTAAAGTTGTCTTCAGATTGGATTGTGCATGTACATGTTTGTGTGTGTGCAGCAGTTTAGTTCACCAATCAACACAAATGAACAGAAAGTAACAGCTTTAGTTTTAGCACATTTAAAAGCTGTGGTCATCTTTGTGCAGCTTTCTGTCACCCACAAGTTCACACACTCACATACAAATGCTTACTCTAAGTGTTAGCAAAAATTCACATCAGCTTTTTCAAAGTTTACCTCAACCACATGTACACATGTCAAACCCTCACTGTAGCCTTAACCAAAACCCAAGCTCTAACCATCTTTGGTCACGCTGTAATTTCTATTTTTCACATCTTGTTTTGCCCTTTTGAGCTTCATATACTGTCTCTAAACAGAGGTTTTATACTGTACAGTTGTAACAATGAATATGAGGAAAGATAAAGGCGCAGATTTGTTCATTTCAGTCAGTTGATATATGAAGACCAACTTGCAACGCTTAATGGCAGAAACGTCACAGGATAAAAGAAGGATTTACGATCAGTGCATGTAAATGTTGTTTTTTTCTTATTGTCATATTAAGTTTAGAGGTTTAGTTGCAAAGTGTAGAGTCAGGACCAACACAGGGACCAACACAGCTTTACTATAATATGCCTTTATATACTAAAGACCAGTAGTCAAAACCCTACTAAGAGGTGCCCTGAGGAGTTTTCTTTTAAACAAACAAAATTCAAGTTGGCCAACTCACATGGAAAAACACATGTTGTTAATACAGAATAAAAGCAGCATTAATGTTTGGCTTCTGGGCTCTGACTTCATCGCTCCCCTGCGAATAAACATTGAGCTTAACTCTGCAGAGAATGGGGAGCGATGATACTAACGGGAGGCGGATGCTGGGGTGGGCTGTGGAAATGCTGGTAGTGGCAGCAGCGTAGCTTTCAGGATGGCAATGTGCACAGGCATGCAGCAAGAGAATGAGCGGTATGGCTGCACTGATGCATTTCCTTCCTCACGAAACACGTGCAGAGCCAATTTCTAGAAAGCTCTTCTTGTTCTTCTTCACTGTGTGGGCATGTTACTGTCACTTGTGGATCCGGGGGTTGTGTAACCACTGACTTGACTGCATACCTGCCTGCACAACCATATGCATCCTCATGCACAAGACAGAACTGGGACCCAGTCATATAAAAACAGCACATTGTGCAAGCAAAGGTTTTGGCAAAAGTACTGAATTATTTTTCGGTACATGTATTGAAAATTTCAACATTAAAGACGAATTTGAATTCTTTTTGTTCTTTTTGTTGTTGTTGTGAAAACTTAGATAATTTGACCTCTCTACACCTCAAACAGCTTTTGTTTTATATGTCCAATTGATAGAACTGGTTATGACTTTTAGGAATCTGAAACATGACAAATCTCCACTAGACACATAGGTCACATGTGAAAAGTTAATTAAGATAATTGCTGGTTTCATCTTTAACAATGTGTTGTATAAAACTTGTGCTATTACCTACAGCTGTCAAATAGTGAAGTAAAAAGTACAGTGTTTCCATAGTGCATCCTGATTGTACTTGATTGGAGTATTTGCGTAAACATTACATAAGTCTGACATTGCGTCCTGCTGCTGTTCAGGTTACTCTGTCGGAGCTGGTCACTTCTTGAGTCCTTTAAGTGTGGAGGTGGTGGGTGGAGCTCCTCAATACAACCAGAAGGGCAAGGTAGGACCTGAGTACTTGTTGCTGAAAGTATGGATGTTTGCAATGACAATCCAGTTCACCTCATCCTCACTGATGAAGCTTGAATTGTTGTTGAGTTTGTTGATATTGTGCTGTGTAGTTGCGATGGTTAAAGTTGCGATGTGCGTGCAGGTCTTCATCTTCACTGTAGACGACAACATGCTGCGAGTCGTCTCTGTAGTGTCCGGAAAAGAGGTAAGAAGCCATTTAGCATTAGCATCTTTCATTCAAAACAATGGAGCACTTAGCACTTAACATGTGTGTCTTTGTGTAGCTGGGTTCGTACTTCGGCTCCAGCGTGTGTGTGGTGGACCTGAACTCGGATGGTTTGTCAGACCTGTTGGTTGGCGCTCCCATGGCAACAGGTGTCACCAGAGAGGAGGGACGAGTTCATGTTTACATCAACCAGGGACAGGTAAATACACATACTGTTTTATAGTAAAAATGAATCTGGGATCTGGCAGTTTCCTACTTTCACAAGATAAACTATTAGCCTGTAATGCTACATACTTATAATATCAGTATATACGTGAGTATAACTTCCCCTAAAGAGATGAAAACATCAGATTTGTTTGAGGAGACCTTAATGTGTTCAAATAATACATGAAACTTGTAGTGATCTTTTTCACACATTTTTCCATTGTATGAGGGTAAATCATGAGTCTTCTTTCTTATCTCGATGCACTCAACTCCTTGCATAAATGTAGTGGATGGAGGTGTTCATGAATTTGCTGTTTTATTTGTTAAGTTTCTATATATTCAGCTAAAATTTTCTTTACATTGATATGAAAGCTAATTGCAGTTGTCCTGACTGATAACTGTGAGCTAAGTTTTTGAAACCAAGCCACAGCTGTGTAATAGATGGTATGAAGCATTACCACGTGAGACCGTCAAAAGCGTACTTGTCACACAAGGACGACGGCATGAATGTGTACAACCAGTGACAGCAGTTTCAACTCGAGGTCAGCTGCATTGCGTAATGTACTTCCTCATTTGCAGCCTTTGCTAATTGCAGTGTTTCAAACTGTTCATTTCTTTATTAACTTTTTCACTTGTGATTGCAAGGAAATCAAAGATTTTGCAACAACTCTGTTCTATTTATGTGACCCAGTGAGCCAACTTGCACAAGAGCAGCATCCTGCAACTGTAGCAGCTAAAGGGAATGCAGCCCTCTTTTTTTATTATTATTTGCACGTGTGCTTATAAATATGAAGATTCATTTGCCTGTTTCCTCTCAAACTATCTCAGGCGAAGCTACTCGAGGCAGAGTTTCAGCTGAGTGGCAGTGACGCCTACGCTGCCCGGTTTGGAGAAACCATCGCTGACCTGGGAGACCTGGACGACGACGGTTACCCTGGTAACGATCACACCTACACAACCTCACCTATCAGCTTTTAATTTGGGTTGAAACAACTTTAAGCATACAGAGCACTACTACGTCTGTTGATACCACTGCCAACTACTGCTACTACTATTAATACTACTTCTCCTTTTGATATTACTGATAGCTATTACTGCTGTGAAAACCACTGGAGATTCTGCAGCTACTAGCGGTACCATCTCTGCTGCTTCTTCAGTATTAGTCATAGTAGTGATGTGTGTAGTAGTAGTAGTATGTCTTCAAGTTTTCCACTGAGCAGCTCCAAATGAGCAGCTGTGGTTCACTATTTGCTCCAGGGCACCTCAGCAGTGGTAATTATGGAGGTTTAAGCGCTGCTTTCTTACATTTTGCACAGATCATCTGCCTCAATGCAGTACGAGGAAGTACTACAACATTACTGCTACTGTAGTAAACAACCAAAAACACATCATACAGTGTGTTTTAGCACCAAGTGGCCACAGCCCAACAACACCAGCAGCAGCAGCAGTTGTGACATCCTGATAACCAAGAAACATAGAACATGACCTGAACACAACCCCCTACACAACACATACACACAACCACCTCACCATGTGTGTGTGTGAGGGGTGGAGTGTGTTATTAAGCTCATTAAATGGTAATGACAAACTGTTGCTGCTGTGTAGCTGAACATGCCCTGTAATCTGCTGCCGTGAGATAAAAGGACGTGTTTGTGTGTAGTTGTGTTACTCTTGTTGTGGGGACATATTTGTGTGCAAAGTCACACGTGTTGACTTGTCTCCCTTTTAGGGGACAAAAAGCAAGACAAAATTTCCGTATAAGGACTTGGACTGTGTGTGACTAATGCTGAATGTGTGTGTTCCACATTCAGCATCAGTCACAAACCCTAATCCTAACCCTAAAAGACCTTCACATGATCAAAGAGCTCAGGTTAAATATTAAAGGACCATGCTGGTGTTTTCTCATGTTTATGCACTTATCTTGAATACTTTCATCCTGTTGAATATTTTCCAGCAGAAATAGCAGCATTGCAAGTTCACACACAAGAGAAGGTCTTAAAATGTTCTAAGTGGTTGGATTTTTTTATTTTTTTTTTGATTAGAGCTGTCACTGAAATCCCACCACTTTTGTCCACACTGAATATTTCAAGTATTTGATGGATTACCTGGAATTATTTTAGAAACTTTTACAGTCTCCGAATGAATCTCTATGACTTTGGTGATCTACGTTTGACATGTGAGATTTTTGACTACATTTTCTGAACAACTTTTGTATGGATTGAAATAAATTTTGTTTCAGATATTCACATCCCCCTGAGGAGTAATTTTACTAACAAAAAGGACCCCTTAACTTTTCATGTATCATTCAATCAAATTGTTAATTTGCTAATACATTTAATTTGATTATATAGCACCGAAACACTAAACTAAGAGTGTGAGATTAGCTGTATAACACTACTGTACTCAAATACAGCCACACACAGCCCCTAGCATTGCTTGTTTCATGTACAAGAAGCCCCTAAATTCATAGACAAAATATAGCCGACTGAGAAATATATGTATACATAAAAAAAAAAACAAAAAAAAAACATGCTGCTTTGTTTCCTGCTGAGAGATAAATGAGAAAATTGATGTCACGATTACAACTGAATACAACGAGTAAAACCAGTGAGGAAATGCTGGTTTACCATCAAGGCAGGAAGTGGGCCCATTTTTGTCAAAAAATGATCAAAATCCACTTCAACATCTCTAAAAACTGATGACGTCATTGAAATAGTTATGGACTATTTACAGGAGGTCACTGCTCTGTTAAAATAATACTTTAAAATGTATAGATTTTTTTAATTCAATATTTTTATGGATCAATTCAAATGGATAATGAACTTCAGAGATTAGGGATAGGTTACCAGTGACTCTCATCTGATTTTTAGCAAAACATATACTACATGTGCTCCTGCAAACAATCCCTTTTATGAACAGCTGGCATATGAACATCGAAATATGTGAGAGAAAGTGTCTGAGCATCAAAATAGAAATCCACAAAACATGATATACGATAGTCTACATTTAGGGATTACTTAATATTTTCTGCAACAGGCTTTAAGTTCTCTAAAAGTTTCATTTAAACACCATAAAGTAATGACCGCCGGGAAAGAAGGAACTCATTGAGGTGGTTGGAGGCTGAGGTTTGTGACGAGTCCCAGAAAATGTAGAACTAAAAACATTGTGTGTCTGTAGATGTGGCGGTTGGTGCCCCACAGGAAGACGACCTCCGAGGAGCCGTCTACATCTACAACGGCAGGAAGGAGGGCATTTCACCGACTCCATCGCAGGTACAAACATCTACTGCGACACAAGCGACCTGAGTGTGACCATCTAAGCAGTAATATTATGAAAATAGTGGCAATAAAAAAATGCATGAACTGTTTATCTGACTTATTTAATCCTAAAATGTAATCTGATCTTTATCTAACTCAAATGTTAGACACAATTTTATTGTCACACAAATTTATACAAAAGGGGATGCAAATAATTATTTGTCGAGCACACTCTTCAAACATCACTGTGCTGCTATAAAAAGTGCCACGTACACTTAATGCTACAATTGTGTCTTCAGTGTGGACAATATTCACACTGTGATCGCTGTTGTTTGGTAAAATACAAGTGTTTAGTCATAATTAGTTGAAGGTCTGTCCATATTTTTGGGTACGTACATGCATATAATTGAAAAGATTCACTGTGATAACATTTATAACAAGAAGGATCAACCTCATTTGATCTCTTATAGGTCTTTATAGTTAAAAGAGAGGGGAAATTAATCAACAGAAAAACAATAAAATAATGTCAATAATATCAGTGTAGAACAGAGTAGCATAGGTTCAAAGTTAAAGCAACAAAATGCACTCACTCAAAATGAGACCAGTGGTCTAGTTGAAATGCTATATTCAGATGAAATGTTCTATTTACAGAAAAGATGCACTTATGAGTGTATATACTACTGCATACTATATATGTCCATTATATAGCACATTAAGACAATATTTTCTCTTTCTTTGATGCTTAAGCAGTATTTTATTGTTGTAATTAGAAGAAAAACATGAGAGGTTTTTAGTGAACCAAATGGGTAATTTCAGTTGCTGATGTGGAGCTAGTTTTTCAATGTTTTTGAGCTAAAACTAATTATTATTTATATTACAAATTCATCTTCTGGTAATTTTCTAATTTTCTTTTTCTTCTTATCCACTTAAATTACCCAGTGTGTGAAAGTGACACATTTACAGACCCTATTTTCTCTGATCAACAGTCCAAACCTCAAAACCATATTGAGTAAGCACCACAAAACCCTGAGGAAATGCTGGTTTAGCTTAGCATCTAGACAGGAAGTGGGCCCATTTTTATCAAAAAAATGATCAAAATCTACTTCGGCTTCTCTAAAAACTGATGAAGTTATTGAAATAGTTATGGACTATTTACAGGAGGTCACTGCTCTGTTAAAATAATGCTTTAAAATGT